TCCCCCCCCCCCCCCCCAATACTTGTTTTTTTTTTGCGGGGCACCATAGCAGTGCCTTTCTTCAAGAAGCGGTGTCCTATAAAGCGGGAACGAATTACATTGTTGTTGATTTTTGCAGGCAACGTACTTGGTGGACTGCATCACGGAGAAGTCGAGGAGTAACAAGATCTTAAACATTGGGGGTCCGGACGCCGGTCTCACGATGACCGCTCAGGGGAAGCTGGTGAGACCCCCCCCCCCCACACCAGAAGTGGCGAGAACCGAATGCACTCCGGGGTGCCCCCCAACAGTCAGTATCGTGTCGTTGAAAAGGGGGGTAAGTTTCTGTCTCCCATGGAATGGCAAAGCTGTAGTCAGCCAAGCAGTATCGTGTGAGGGGTAATTTGTCTCCCATGGCGTGGGAAAGCTTAAGCTGTCGTCGAAAGAGAGGGTCGAGCAATGTTGATGATCCACGGCCGCACCATATGGCGGGCCGAAAGGTGAGACGCAGCTGTCCTCCCTCCGGAACTATGGCGGTGTGGGTATATTGTAGAGTTTAGAGGTGGTCTTTGAAGCGTCCGAGGGGAGGGAAAAGGTCATACTGTAAACGAAACCTGTGAGTCGTCGATACGCAAGATACCACTCGGGGTCGGCAGGCGGACTTTGGTCGAGTTTTTCACAACCTTCATGCCACCCCCCCAAAAAATAACAAGTGGCGGCCACGCTTTCCGGCCGTGTCTCTTTTCTTTTCTTTTCTTTTCAACCCAGAATCGGGAAACATTTTTGGCAGACCGAGACAGAATAATTACGTTTTTCTGCACATTTTGTTGTTCTTTCGACGTTTGTTGATCGTTGAAATGTATGTCCGGCTGCTGCGCGTTCTTGTTTTTCTTTTGTTGTTGTTGCACTTTTGAGTTTTTTTTTTGTCGTTTTCTGCCGTTGTCATTTAGAACTTTGGCCTATTCCCAAACGAAGGTGCCTTCGCAAGTGCTTTCAACAATCTCTCATCCCCCCCCCCCCTCCACTTCGATGCAACACGGGGTGGCAGAGCGAAGGTTCATGAGTACGCCCCAATCCCCCTGTTCCAACTTGTCACCACCGTCTGTACCCCCTTCCGGCCTGGCCAGCACCGAACCACAAACCTTTACGGAACCCCTGGCCCTTGTCATCCCCCCCCCCCCCCCCTCGTGCCAACCACACGTTCCGTTCCCCAATCATATCGCAGCTCTTCGAAGCCGTGGGCAAGGAACCCAAGATCCTCAAGGTGCCCGTCCTCCTGTTCGACGTGATCATCGGGGCGTTGGATTTCTTGGCCGCCATCTTACCGAAGCAATTCGAGGACCCCGCGGAGCTGGCCAAGATCGGAAAGTACTACGCCGTGGAGGACATGCTCACGGTCGACCCTTCGGAAAAGGCGAGTTTGTCGTGGACTGTTGTTTTGATTGTTTTTCTGTTTTTTGGTCTCATCATCATTGTTAAACGGATGTATCGGAGTTTGTGTTTTCAGTTTTCAGCAAGTGTGTTCGTTAGTTTCTGTAGGCAAGTGCTACGCCGTGGAGGACATGCTCACGGTCGACCCTGCGGGAAAGGCGAGCAATGTGTTTTTCGTGGACTTTTGTTTTTGTGTCTGATGATCATCATGAAACGGATGTATTAGTGGTATCGGGTTTTGTTCTACGAGTGTTTCTTTTCTTAGCTTTTTTTTTCTGTAGGCAAGTGCTACGCCGTGCAGGACATGCTCATGGTCGACCCTTCGGAAAAGGCGAGCAACGTTTTTTTCGTGGACTACTGTTGTCCATTTGTCCCTTGACCATTTTGCATCGGTGCCAGGTGTGATGTGGATGCAGAATATATTAAGAGGAAATGGGTATTTTGCGTTTCATTTTATTCCAATCGGTTAGTTTTAATGCATATTCAATCGGTAGAGAGTAGTTGGCGACAAACGTGCGTTAGACATCACCGCTTAAGTAGCGCTGCGGAAGCATGCCTTCTGCATCTTCGCCACGATGCCGAACCCCGGAGAGCTAGATAGATCCCGCGCTGCTTTCACCTGAAGCGCCCACAAAGATAAATGTATTTGATTCAGGTGTGCCTGTTTGTCCTGTCTGCTTTGGGGGTCTATTTTTTTCATTTTCCGTCTTACCGTCACAATTATGGACGGTTACCTTCGGAGAGGACGAACACTAGAAGCGAATCGCTGTCAACTGAAGCCGAAGGAATCTTTTTTGTCTGGGTCGGATGTGCCTGTTTGCTCTTATTCGCGTTGGGGTATGTCTTGTCTATTCTTGTCTGCTTTGGGATCTCGCGCTGCGCATGCTGATTGCTGCCGCTCGCTTCTTTCTCTGTGTACTAAAACCGTCGCAGTTCGGAACGGTTACCCTGGGAGAACACTACAAGCGGATCGCGGTGGAGGGCAACGACTACGACCCCTACACGACGCTCTTTGCGGGGAAGAAGAACCCCACCAGCGTCATCGCCAACCTGGTGGGCAACAGCGTCGACGTCGAGGAAGAGCAGCCCGTTGCCAAGTGAACGGGTTTCCGCTCGCGTGCGTGCGAGGCGTGTTTTTATGCCGCCACGACGGCTCAATCCGGACTTGGCGGAAAGAAATCCTTCCAGGAAGGTGAACGGGGGCCCAGCGAGACGTTTTTTCTTGGGGGGGGGGGGGGCAAAAAAAAGGACCTGTTGTCCCGTGAAAAACAAAATTTGACCCCCAGTTTGTTTCCCGGGTACCGTTTCGGGCAGGCATGACCTTTGAAAAGGCACGTGAAAAAGCATTCCCCCCCCACCCTTCCCTAGCGGTCCAAATTTTTCTGACCCCTTTCATTATTTTTGTTTTGCTGGGGCAGTTTTTCTCGATGACCACGGCCTTTGCTTCACCAGTGCGGTCCAGGACGCATTTTCCCTAATAAGCAGAAGACAGGGTATGAGAGGTAGTAGGCGGTGCTGGCGTTGGTATCGATGATGTACCAGCAGTCAGTGCCGTAGAAGACGCATTCCCATTAGGCAGAGGATAGGGCAAGAGGTCGTAGTAGGCATGACTGCTGTTGGTGTCGATGCTGTCCACCAGCATCAGGGCCGTACGAGGCGCATTTTCCTTAGGCAAAGGATATAGGGTGAGAGGTAGTAGGCATGGCTGCTGTTGGTATCGATGCTGTATTCCACCAGCAGTGCCTTGTCTCCCTTAGGCAAGAGGATAGGGTGATGGGTAGTAGTAGGCCTTGCTGGTGTTGGTGTCGATGCGAGATGTACATGACGTGTCCCGGTCGATTGCTCAACGGGGAGCGCCAAGGCGAAAACGTGAAACCGTCGGTATGCTCTCTCGACTGCACCTTAGACGGCGGTTAGCCGGCTCGGGTTGTGGCTGGCCCTTAAGCGGCGCGATTATTTTGGCGCGTTTCTTTTTTGGCCTCCCATTCGGCCGCGAATTAAATTTGGTTTACCTAGACTACTGTACAGCAGTGGTAGTATCGGGGAAACAGCATTTTTTTTTTGTAATTTTTCTTGCGGAAGAATCACGATTTCATCTTCTCTTGCTCCTGTCTTCACATTTATCCCCTGTATGGAAGTCTTGTTCTCGCGATGGTTACATGTACGTACGCGTTCCATCGAGTGCGAGAAATATCTACGGTGGCGTCAGCAGCAGCACGTGTTTGTCGCTTATCTTGAGTTGTGCATATCGAGCCGCCAATCAACTGTCTGGATGACTTTTGTGGTGCGGTTGACCGAGAAACACAACACCAAATAATCATCATTGTTGAAAGCAAGCCTACGAATATCGTCGGCGTTGCTTCAACAGCCCCTGGCTGTTTGTTTGTTTTTTGCTAATTGTTTCAGGCTTGAGAACGGAAGCGGGGACGGACTGCTCATGTAAGTGCTGTGACTCAGACTGTCAGCATTGACGTCCTCTGTCTCAGGCACCCGTTGGTGGCCGAGGACAGGTTTTTGACCAGCCGACCCCCCCCTCCCTCACTTCTCGTCAACATGGGGCAGCGAGCATCTAGAGTACTCTGGATCATCATCACATGTAATTTCGCCAGTGTCCCTGCCGCGACTTGCGGCACTCAAAAGAGAGGGGCCCCGCCACATCACACAGAGGCATGGTACGCCGAATAGAGGCACCTAACTCAGTGGGTTTCACACGCCAGACCGCCAGTCAAGGTTGTTGCACTTTATCCCGAGGGTGGAGCGGTGGATTACGACGCACTACGCACGTTTATCCTCAACCAAAACACCAGGACTCAACGTGGAGTTTGATGGGACGGCAGGACATTTTGGGTTTTACGTCACTTGATATCATCCCCATCATACCGTGGAACCACGTCAACCACCACCACCACCACCGTAATTTATCGAGAAAAACTGTGCTTTAGATTGGTTTGTCTCCGTGCTATTTTCGCAGCCTCGAGAATAAGTAGTTTCAGCGGAAGATCGCCCTTTTCTGGCCATGAAAAAGGAGCGGCACGTGGACAGACAGATCTGAAGCGATTTCATCGTCGTAAAAATCACCAAGTGCCTTAACTCGCCGGGTTTCTCGACACCGCGTTTTTCGTTTCGCTGCATTGGCGATGGATGCTTGCGACCAGCAGAGGTACAGGAGCCGCCGCAGGGTTCCTTATTTTCAACGATTCGTGCCCGTGAGACCGCACGGCAGCAGCAGCAGGACGAGGCGTTAACCGGGGACACAAACACACACACACACACACGAGATTTCTGCCTTTTAATGCGGAGAACAGCTTATAGCCTCCCCCATGACGCACCCTCACCGGGTCCCAAGTTCATGGGATTTGGAAACGTTTCGTCATTTCAACTGCACTGAGACTGACGTGTTTTCATTGGTCGGTCGGTTAGCGCGGTCGATGCTGATAATAAAAAAAACACAGAACACAAGAACGTCAGGCACGTCCTTTGTGAACTGATTTGGTCCTTCGAAACCGACGTGATCTCATGTCATGGAAGTCCACCTTATCGTCGGGGATGCCGGGGGGTCATTCTTGAAACTGATTTGATTTCTTGTGAATGTGATTCAAGACCATCTTCTTCCCTTCTCCCTAACAAACGCCCGAAAACAAAAAACTCCATTTATTACTTGGACCTCGAACGGGATTCAATGCCTCAACAACCCGCATGCACGCACGCCGGCCTAGTTCTTCTCTCAAGCAAGCATTCGGAGTCGCGGAAGAAGATTATTTCCGCTACACCAGCAGGCAGGCCATCGGATTGAAGATAAAACACCGCCGCGCCAAGAGGACGAAACCAGTCGCACACATCGCGTGGGCGCGTTCTACAAAAATCGCTGCTAGACACGCCAATCACAAACTCTTGCCGCCGTTAAGAGTGGAAAAAAAAAACTCGATCCCGCTCTTGAACTACAAAGCCAGCCCCGTTTCATAAAAAAACATGAACACGATAGGCAGGAGATTTTTTGTTCAGAAGCCAACAGTAACAAGACCAGAAAGACAAAACACAGAGAAAGCGGCCCCGCGGCTGGATGGGGTTAGGGCTTTTTTAACGATGACGTAAATCCCTCTCTCTCCCCTCTGAACGAAACACTACATCGCAGGAGAAGCACACACGACAACCACCAAAAATCGACACGCGAAAAACAGGCGCGATGGTAAAATAGCCCAGGAACTTGGAATACGCCCTCTCTCGTGAGGGATCGGGGCATCACAGGCGTTTGTTTCGCCCACCCGGGATAACTTGACTCCCATGGAATGCCGCTGCGCAGAAAAAAGCTCACGGCAGCCACCGCAGCGCGTCTATTTTTGCACGCCATATAAAAGTGCTTGCTGTGCCTCCCTCTCCCCCCCATCGGAGCAACACAAGGGCCCAAAAGGCAAACGTTTTTTACGCTCTCTCCCTAGTGCTGATTGGAGTCATTCGCTTTTCTAGAAACAAAGTTTGTATTTACAGCAGAGCCTACTGAGAGCGCTACCCACCCTCCCCTCACAACGCGAAAAGAACAAAACGGAATCAATCCCGATGATGACACAGAGAACGAGAGGTAAGAGGAGCTGACGACAGTCCCCGCTGCCCCCCCCCCCCCCCCCCAACTGGGAGGGGACATCACCCGGAAAAATGGGGCCTGGTCGGGCAAAGGGATCCGGGGAACCTAAAAGGGTCCCCTGGTTTTTGGCCTTGGGCACAAAAGGGGAAATTTAAGAAGGCCGCCTCTGAAAAGATGATCGGGCCAAAAAAAACAGAACAAGGGAAAAGAAGAGGGGCGAGAAAACCTTTTAAAAGGGGGGTCCAAAAAAAAAACCCCTTGGGTCCGGGGGGGGTTTAACCTGGGGGCCCCCAAATTTGCTTGGGAAGGT